TCTCTCTCTCTCTCTCTCTCTCTCTCTCTCTCTCTCTCTCTCTCTCCTCTCTCTCTCTCTCTCTCTCTCTCTCTCTCTCTCTCTCTCTCTCTCTCTCTGTCTCTCTCTCTCCTCTCTCTCTCTCTCTCTCTCTTTCACTTTGCTTCTTTTGTTATAATTAATGTTTTATTAATATCATTATTATTATTATCATTATTATTATTATTATTATTAATTATTATTATTATTATTATTATATTATTATTATTATTATTATTATTATTATTATTATTATTATATATTATATATTATGTTATTATATTATTATCATTATTATTATTATTATTATTATTATTATTACATTATTATTATTATTATTATTATTATTATTATTATTATTATTATTATTATATTATTGTTATATTATTATTATTATCATTATTATATCATTATTATTATTATTATTATTATATTATTATTAATATTATGATTAATTATTATTTATTATTATTATCATATTATCATTATGATTATTATTATCGTTATTATTATCATCAGTATCATCATTATTAGTAGTATCACTACCATTATCATTATTATTATTGCTACTATCAATAGTAGGTGAGATAGTAGCAGTACAAGCAGCAGCAGCAGTAGTAGTAGCTCTAGTATGATAATAATTGTTATATTAATGATAATCATACTGATAATGATAATAAGAGGAATGATAATTATAATGCTAATAATAATAATGGTAATAATGGGAAAGGTTTGATGATTGGTAGATCATTAGACATAGAAAAACTATTGATAACAGAAAGGATAAAGTATTAGTAATACCAACAAAAGATCCGTAAAAAGAAAATTGGTAAAATAATGAAAACAATTATATGAAATAATTATATGAAAATTAAAGAAATACAATAGTAACACACGGAATAAGATACTTTCTGGGAAAGGTGATAAAAAGGACAGAGAGGAAGCAAGAACTGATCCTGCGCATCCTCCCGCAGGACCTGACCGTGGTGGACCTGGTCTCGCTGGAGAGGAGGGTGCTCAAGACGGGCTATTCCGCCCACACAATGGGCGTGGCCTACTCGCTCGACGGCTCCAAGGTACGTGGGGGAGGGGGGGGGGAGGGGCGGAGTGATCTGAAGGGGAGGTATGGAGGGGCGTGATCAGACGTAAGGGGAACTGGGGGCCATGTTCCTTAGGGTCTTCCCTACGTTATTTTAAGCTAGATGGAAAAGTATATATGACAATTTGGGGGGTTCATCCCTAACTAGGCAAAAGTGTGCAGCATTATGCCCATGAAGAGACGAGTACTGACTCTGTAAAGGCATAACCAGACACTCTTGGGTCAAGACCTCAGCTCCGTGTTCGTTTTCTCTCTGGAACCTCCACGTGAATCTCGCCAGGTCTACACCGTGGCTGCGGACGGCCTCCGCGGACCTCGTCTGGTGGAGGTGAACGTGTCCTCAGGAGAAGCGACGCCCCTGGGAAAATGGAGCGCCGAGGGGGAGGGGGGCGCTAACCTCAGCTCCCCCTCCGTCGACCCCGGCTACGTCAGCATCGCGAGGCAGATCCAGTTCCCGACGACCCAGGGGGACTTCGCCTATGGGTACCTCTACATGCCCAAGGTGGGTGCGGGGAGCTGCCCGCTGTTGCAGTATTGCTGTCCTCGTTGTTATTGATATAGTAATAAAAATTGCAATTGTTATTATTATCATTATCATCATTATTATCATTATTATTATTATTATCATCATCATCCTTATTATGATTATCGCCTTATTGATATTATCATTATAACCATCATTAACAACATCACCGTCATAATCGTCATCAATATATCATCAACATCATCACGGTTGCTTCAGTGAGTATCTCTAGCCATGTCATCCCATCTCCTTCGCCGCCGCTCGACATTTCTCTCAAAGAGGAACATCTCATCACAAACGCGACGATCCAAATTTTCCTTCTTTTCTTGTTAAACTGTTCTTCTTCTGATGCCTCTATGTCCTCCGCTCTTCTCTTCCCCTGCCTTGCTTACCCGCCACGCCCTCTTTTCCCCCAGAACAAGGACTACCGTGCGCCCCCGGGGACGCGTCCCCCCTTGCTCGTGAAAGCCCACGGAGGCCCGACATCCGCGGCCACCAAGACCTACAGCCCGGCCGTCCAGTTCTTCACCTCTCGGGGCTTCGCCATCCTCGACGTCGACTACAGGGGGAGCACCGGCTACGGCACGCTCTACAGGACCAAGCTGCACGAGATGTACGTACGGGGACAGGTGAGGGGGCGGGAGGCAGTAAAGGTGGCGCGGAGGAGACGGTCAAGGAGGGCCGTGGATGGAGGAGGGGAGGGAAGTTTGTGAGGGAAAGGAGCAAGAGGGAAGGGGCGGGACAGAGAAGGAAGGGGATGAGAGAAGGGAGGCTTGTGAGGGACTGGAGGCAGAGGGAAAGAGGCAAGAAGGATTGGAGGGAAGGAAAGGGGAACGGGGCAAAGAGGGAGGGAGTGAGAAAGATGAATTCAGGGAAAGAGGAAAAGAGGCGAAGGGAAGGGAATAACAGGGAGGGGCGAGAAGGTGGGGAAGGAGAAGGACAAGAAGGGAGGAGCAGGTGGACAAACAGGGAATATGGAGAAAAACAATTTTTTCCCCTAATCGCGCCAGTAATGATTCCGTTCCATATTGCTCTTTTATTCTCGGGAATGCTACCTTAACTAGCCATCGAGAAAATAAAGCCTTAGATGAAATAAACGGGAAAAAAATCAAAGGATGAAGTAAAAGGATCCTCTTAAAGCGAAAACGAAAAACAGCTGTGTGGCGCAGTGGTAACGTGCTGGTTTTGCTATCTTGCTGACCAGCGTTCAATCCCGCGCGCAACTAGTGGATGGTAACCCCGGCCATACCTTGCACACAGGGGCAGATTTGGAAGCAAAGTAAAACAGACTGTATATCACAGTAAAGAATGTCCATTGCAACAAATGGAATAAAAACTAAATCTTTAAAAAATCTCAAATCTCTCAAAAACAACTTTTTGGCGCCCCGCCTGAAGAGCGATTCAACTGTAACTCGAATTTTTGGCATGTATGTCGCTCTGATTTTGGCTGTGTTGCGCCCGTTATTTTCCTCTCTCTTCCTCCCTTCTGTCCCTTTGCTTTCTCTTCCTTCCTTCATTACCTTCACTTCCTTCTATCCCTTCATTTCTTGTTCGTTGCATTTATCCCTCTATTTCCTCTTCCTTGTTTCTATACATTCACTTCCTCGTCTTGCCTTCTATCCCTTCACTTCCTCTTTCTTCCTTTTTTCTATCCTTCATCTTCACCTTCCTTCCATTCCTTTCTCTTATTCCGTTTCTTTTCTCATCTTCCTTCTTCCCCCCACTTCCTTCTCTTCCTATCTCTCCTTTTCCGTCTTTCCTCTTAATCTTTCTCTTCCTCTTTCTCTCTTCTTCCCACATCTCCGTTTCTTCGTCTTTCCTTCCTTTTTATTATTATTATTCCTCTTTCTACCTTCATCCCCTCCTTTCTCTTCCCCTCCCTTCCTTCCTCTTATTCCACCTCTTTCTCTTCCTCCCTGTCTCTCATTCTTCCTCTTCCTTCTTTCCCTTTATTCCTCCTCTTCCTCTTCCTTCCTTCATCCAATCGCCCATTTTCCTTTTTTTTCTTTCCTCCTATCTCTTGTCTCACTCTGCCATCCTTCACCCTATCCCTTCCCTTTCTCTTCACTCTTTCCTGTTATCGTTTATCTTCCTCTTTCTCACTGTCTCCCATCTATTTTCATCCTTTTCATCTCCTCTTCCTATCCCTCCTATTTCTCATTCTTCCTTTGACATTCCTTTTCCTCCTCCTCTCCTTTTTTCTTTTCCTTCCCCCATCACCCTTTTTCTTCTTCCTTCTTTCCCATTCCACCTTCCCTTCCTTTTGTCCTCCTATCTCCTCTATACCTTTTTTCTATGCCTTCTAATACTCTTCCTTGCTCCTATCACATCTTTTTTTTTCCTTCCTCTACCCTCCCCCTCCTTACCCGCTTTCATTCTCACATTCCTCCTTCTTTCTATCTTCCCCTCACCCCTTCGTCTTCTTTTCCCATCCTTCTTTCCATCTCTCTCTCCCTCCTTCTCTCTTGTCATCCCTCCTCCTCTCTTCTCATCCCTTATTCTCCTCCTTCTTCTTCCCTCTTCTCATCTCTCCTCCTCCTTCTCCGGCAGGTGGGGCGTGTACGACGTGGACGACGTGCTTGCGGGCGCCGCCTACCTGGTACAGGAGGGCCTCGTGGACCCGACCGCCTGGCATTCGACGGCGGGTCCGCGGGCGGCTACACGGCGCTCTCGGCGCTCGCCATCGCCGGCTCCAAGTTCAAGGCGGGTGAGGCGCTTGCGGATCACGAGTCGGGGTGAAGGTATAAGGATGATAATGATAAGGATTATGACAGATCGAGCGATGCGTAGACAGGCAGACAGATCGACCGACGGACATGCACGCCCTTCCCTGCCCCTCAACCCTCCCCTTCCCTCCCCAGGCGCCAGCTTCTACGGCGTGTCAGACCTGCAGCTCCTGGCGCGGGACACGCACAAGTTCGAGAGCCGCTACCTGGACGGCCTCGTCGGGAAGCTGGACAAGCACCTGGAGCGCTACGTCTCCCGCTCGCCCTTCAGGAACCACGCCAAGCTCGACGTGCCCACCGTCTTCTTCCAGGGCACGGAGGACACGGTCAGTGGAGGGGCGGAGGCGGCCGGAGGGATGCGTGTATGCGAATGGGTTGGGTCAAGGACAGATTTATGTGCCATGAGTACATGTACGCATACATACATACATGCATATATATATATATATATA